AATGGATGAACAAAGGAATGAATGTACATACTATTTTTAATTCTTTCGTAGTCACCTCTTTCAAAGCGTTTTGCCCATCCCATTATAGACTGGTTCCTGCATCCATTCAACACCTTGGGGACCGACATCTCCAGCCTTGTCAGCAAGCTTTTCTCCAGACATTTCAGCACAACTCCACAGTTCACGAGGTTGATTCAACCACCTCCTTCATTGCAAGCATTTCTGTCCTCTCTGTTACTCCAGCAGACTTCACTGCCCCTCCTTGGTGTCCACAATTCTCAGAGGTTTTAATCAGTCTCCACACCTGTTTTGTACTTTGGTTTACATGTTCTGATTTTGTATATTATACCATAAGCTCTTTGCAGGGAGTGATCATGTCTTATTAGTCCTTCAGCACTAATTAAACACTTGGAAAATAAAAAGCCTCATGAAATTACTCATAGATTTCATGCTTATTGTTTTTATTTTATTTTTTTAATGGAAAGAATCACTTTGAATTTTTTTCCTGATCTTTCCTCTCTTTCTCTCCTCTTGTCTTTTTCTATAAATATTCTTTCACTTAAAAAAAAAAGGAGTATTTCCAAAGGAAGTGGGATTTAGAACAGAGTTTTTGTTTTTGTTTTGGAGGCTGGATGGAGAGATAGATGGGTAGATATATTGACATTACAGAAAAAAATCCTACTTTGAAATTTGTAAATTAATTTAGTTGTGAGGGAGGCAGTTTGGATGTTCCTTTAAAAATTAAAAATTAAAACTACCACACGATTCTGTCATTCCCCATCTGGACATACACCCCAAAATATTAAATCACTGTCTTGAGGAACTGCCCTACCATGATTGTTACAGCAGTATTTATAAGAAAAAAAGGTATGACCACCTAAATGTCTACCAACAGATAAATCAATAAAGTATGAAATTTGTATAAAATATATATTATATTTTATATATTTCACACATTTATATACAATATATGTATATATATACATAAACATATACTGTATGTGCGCATATTGTATATACTGTCATATTCTCCAATGTTTAAACAAGGGGAAATTGTTCCATTTGTGATAGCATGAATAAACCTGGAGGACAGTTCACTAAATTAAACAATACAAATACAAGCAGACAAATATCACAGATTCTGATTAAATGTGGAAATAAAATGGTCAAACAGAAGCAGAGAGCTAAACTGCAATTGTCAGAGATTAGGGAAAAGAGATATTGGTTTAGGGATTAAGGTTTTATTTATGCAGGAAAATTAAGTCCTATAGATTTAATGTAAGGGCTATTACTATAATTAACAATAATCTATACAGTACTTTTGAAATTGGCCCAAAAAACTGATCTTAAGTATTTCTACCGCACACACACAGACATGAAATGGTAGCTGCAGCATGATGAATAGATGAATCATTTTAGTTGTAGTGATTATTTCACAATGCATATGTACATCAAAAATTAAGTTGTTTGCTTTCCTATATAAAATATTTATTTTTAATTGTGCTGTAATAAATTTGGAGCAAAAACAAAGATTTGGGAAAAATCATAATTTTGCGTTTTTAAAAACATATTATTCACTTTATATAAATAAATAAAGCTGATATAAAATAGAAAGGAAAATGCTTCTATGAATTATGATGTGCAAGTTTTTGTGCCAAAGGTGTGTTTTATCTCCCTTGGGGATATACCTATGGGTTGGATTGCTGGGTCATTTGGTAAGTATATGATTAACCTTAAAAGAATGACAGAACCATTTTTCAGAGAGATTACACAATTTTTATTCCCTACCAGCAATGCACAAGGATTCTATTTTTCCACATTATTGCCAGCACCTGTTGCAGTCTTTTTTACTGTATCTACCATACAGTGTTAAGGAGTGGTATCTTATTATGGCTTTTATTTGCCTTTCTCTCATAGCTAATGATCTTGAAACTCTTTAAATGCTTATGGGTTACTTGTGTTTATTTCATTATTTTTAAAATATTTATTTATTTTAAAGGTAGAGCAATAGAGAAGGATTGGGGAGAGAGAGGTGGAGAGAGAGATCTTTCACCTACTCGTTCACTTCTCAAACGGCCACAACAGCCAGGTCATGGCCAGGCTGAAATCTGGGACCAGGAGATTCTTCCAGCTTCCTATGAGAGTTCAGGGCCTGAGGACTTGGCTCACTCTTCTGTTCCTTTCCTAGATGTGTTAGTAAAGAGTTACATTGGAAGTGGAGCACCTGGGACTTGAACTGGTGCCCATACAAGATGCTGCTTTATAGATGCCATCTTTATGCACTATGCCTGTTCCTCAACTTCCTTTCTTTGTTACTACACAATTGTCCCAACACTATGTGTTAAAAAGACTATAATTTTCCTTCTCTGAATGTACATACTATGTCTTTGCTTCTCTTGCCAAAGTAATTTTACTTTTCCCCCTAAGTAAATCTAGTTTATTTATTTACTTATTTATTTATTGCTTATATGTTAGTCCACTAGCTGTGCTTTGACCCTGATTAAAAATGTACATTCCCATATAATTAGTGAAAACTTGTGACAATGAAACCAATTCTGGAAATAAGTTAAACTCAGTATCTTCCAGGACAAGCAATTACAACAAGCCAGTGGCTTTTCAGAAGAAGAACACGTTTGTGTAAAAATCATTTTAAAGTTTCTTTATGTAGAATGGATTGTCTGTGGTCTTATCAGTGAATTATGCTAAAAATTGTTTTATACAACCAATTCCTTGATTAGCTTTTGGTAGTGCTTTGAGTATTTTTACTAGTATTTGTTTTCATTTTTACAAGAATCACATTCTCAGAGTAGACATTTCCCAATATGTTTCATAGTTCTACAGCTAGAACAAATTTTTTAATGCATCCCCTGAAACAAAAGATTCTTTTACTATGTATCAGACTAAAAATCAAAACATAAGAGCTGAAAGATACGTGGGCTCACATAATGTAAACCTTTGATTTTCAAAGGCAGAATAGTGAACTCCCCAAAGGTAAGGTTGTTTATCTGGAAGATGTTCACGCATTAGTAACCTCATAATGAGGAAAGATGGTAGGGGACGAGAGCAAAACTTGACAAATTTGTATAATGGAAAGAAATTTCAAATTTGGATTAACTACTGAGGTACAATACATATTTAAAGAAATTGTATTCTTAAGTAAACAATTGGATTGCTTCTTCAGTACAAAAGAATAGATTGCTCTAACAGCACTCCTAATTATTTACTAGCTAAGCCGAGAGAAACGAGGCAGCGGGATTGAGATGAAAACTGTCAGTCAAGGGTGCCTTACAATAATAGCTAAAATTTAAGTAAAGATCTTATGGCCGTGGGAAATGGAGAAGAGCAGATAAGTGCCATGAGTGTTTGAGACAGGTAGAGAATCTTAAAGTTAAGAGGGTCAAAATTAAATCAATAGTACAATAAGACAAATTGTATTAAATCTCAAATACATGCTAATCTTTGGGGGAAGACGTGCCAATATTGATCACATTTTTCTTAAAAGGAAGCCCAAAGTCCATCAATGTGACTTAGAGTTCTTAGCAAGCTGGGCTGTTGACTGTAAGTATTGCAAGCCTTTATTCAGTTTCTCCAAGTACAACTGAAGTGTGTCAATGCAAAGCATTATTATCTCAAAGCATTATTACACTTACTTCCTGATGGATTGAGGTATAGCAGTGCAAATTAAGCAGATAGGATGAGCATAATGACCACAGAGACACAGGGACACTCAAAGGCACAGCAAGAAAGGGCTGAAATGTGGGTTTGCATGTAAAGTCCTCTCAGTTTCAGTTGTCATTGTCATTTGAGGTACTTCAGCATTGAACTTCACAGAAATTTTTTTTTGCATATTTTTAAATAACGGACACAGCATTAATTTCCTACTTTATTTTGAACTGTATTTTTTCTTGTAGAAGGCAGTCGAGTCAAACTGCTGGCCATGAGCAAAACAACTTCTATAGAGAGGTGAGGAAGTGTTTAAACAGAAGGTTGAGTCATCCATCCTTAGAGGGGATTCAAGAATAAAGTGAGAAAGAAAGATCTCTTCAGCATGAATGTTTTATGGGGATCTAGAATATAGTTCCCAATGGTCGTGTAATACCAAAAACAAAAATATCCAGAGTATCCCATTAGGCCAAGACTCTTGCCACTGGAACTTGTGGCTATGTGTGTTAGGGCTAGGGACCGTGAAAAGAGAGTGTATGTAACAGAGCTGTCAGAATGCATTGCCTGCCGACAGTACTTCTCTTGTTTTCTCTGGGAGTTCTTGACTGCATGCTAGCTCTGTTCCCCCGGCGAGGCTCAGTGTCTTACTCACATTAATTCACTACAAGATATATTTTTGTTATAGTCCGTTTCATTTTCCTTCTTCCTTTTAAAATCCCCACAAGTCAAACTTCTCCTGTTCACCACAACTTACTCAGCCAGAGCCAAAAGTGGAAATTAAGCTGTGTCCTCACGGCCTGCTAATTAATGTTGCTTAGCTGCAATACAATGCAAGTTGAGAAGAACTATTGTTCTGAAAATAGACCTGCTTGAACCTATGGCAAAAATGAAAGTCAAATGGACTTTTCAGAGTGAAACTAGCCTGTTTCTTCTTAAGGTTGTGAGGCACACATTTCCTTCCTGTAAACCTTGAATTTACTTGGTAAGAAGCTGTTTTGAACTCTAGATTCCACATTATAAAAGAACCAGGGTGGTGAAGAATGGGGAATGCTGTCGCTATGCCAACGAAAAGGTGCCGCAAGAAGGTAACCTGGCCAAGTTCCTTTATTTATGCTAATAACATATTGTGAAATATCCCACATTAGATAAAGAATAATTTCTGAAAAGGACGGGTCAGCTTGACAGAGAGCCAGATGGTGCCAAGTTCCTCCATTAGGAACTATGTTAAAGCTTTGCTCCATTATCATCAGGGAAAGGCATTATTCCAGGGGATCATATTTTCTGAGAGAAAAAAACGCACGTATTTAGCTGTGAGCAGTGGTGGATCTATCTGCAGAATGGAGATGACCAGAGGAAACGCCTGCGTGGTCAGTGTCTTGAATCTCCCTTGCAATCCTGTGAATGAGTTTCAGACTGTGACCCATTCCCTGGAGGAGGCATGCCTGAATCAGCTGGGGCACACAAAAGTGCTGTGGGACGGGGGTCTGTTTCCCAGCTTGCACCTCTCAGAGGCCGAGGTGCCGTACCTTCTCAGAGCACCTCATTGCTGCCTAGGACTGGCTTGACAGATGTCACGCATGTAGGAGTCCAGGGTTCACCTCTGAAAGCCCTTATCAGTTTTCACAAGGACTTTAATACCATCACACACATCAAGACTCCTAAGAAATGACTGTGTCACAAGCTTTGTGGGCAAGGGCATGGGGAGAAGCAAGAAGAGGAGAAATAAAAGGTGTTCATAAAAATTTAGGGTAGCTTTATGAACTTCCCTCCCTCCCTCCCTCCTTCCCTCCATTCTTCCTTTCTTCCTCCCTTTCTTTCTTCTTTCTTTCCTTCCTTCTTCCACCTCTTCTTCCTTCCCTCCTTTCTTTCTTCCTTTTTTTGTCATGCTTTTGGCCTGCTTTATTTTTTCATGAACCCGAACCCGTTCATCCATTTACATATTTACCACCACTCCCACAACATGAAATGTTCCACTTCATTTGAATAACTTTCTCCCCCAACAGCAAATTGAATTGCAGTAAAATAAGACGCAATATTAAAAGATGAATTTAAGAATACAAAATAGACAAATCCATTTTTTTATAATGCTAAAATTGTTCAAAATAAGCACATCAGACTATAATCTGTAACACTTTTGCTAGGCTATTTTGTGAAAGAATATAAAATGTAGTGTGATAAAAACCATTTTGCCTTTTAGAGTATAATGTTATCTTAAAAAGGAATGGCCTATTATAAACTAAACACTATAACAGATCAATGACATCCCATTAACCCACTTTACTGCTATAAAGAACATTAATTCTCTAAGGGTTACACATGATTAATCGATATTATGATCCAGAAACATTAAGGAGTTATTCACTTAAGTAAGCAAAAATTAATTGTGTTTATCTAAAATCCTAAAACCAGAGACTCCCTTCCCACCCAAGAGAGAAAATGATGACCCTCCATAAATTCTGCATATCTTCCATTTCACTCATCTCTTCAAATAAATGTATTATAAATGTGAATGCTGTTTACTCCCTCATCTAATGGTATGCTAAGGGTTCCAGTCCCTTCTGCTTTACATCCTACCCACTTTTGGATTTTCATCTTTCATCTTCCAGAGATCCCAAGGTCTAAAAGTGTCAAAGCTGAGTGGGGAGGAAATCATTCCTCCTTAGCCCAGAGGAGAGTGTTACCAGCTTTGTCCCGCCTTCTGGGCCAGGTAGTCTTGTAGCTGCTGTTTTCACTAGACATTTCAGAATTTGCTCCACTGCTCGGATCACAGGTTCATGTCCTCGCATGTTAATACTTATTCAGTCAGTCATTTACTTTCACGGCGCTGGAAAATGGTTACTGAAGTAGTGGTTAATAATAAACAATGCCAACTTAAGTGTTCAGAGATTTGTCTATGAAGCTACATCCTAGGGTAGATTTTCTTATCCCATATAATTGTTGTAACTTTTTCTAAAATTGATATAGTGAATCAGCAGGGAACTAGAAATTTCACTGTGTATATTATTTATATATTTTTGCTTTCATGAGCAGGATTCATATTTTTAAAGCATTAGAGAGGCGAGAATGAAGAAATTGACAGAATTAAGAAGTACCAAGATAAATGACTACTAGATGTTAGATGGGAGGAAAAAAAAAATCTCTGTTTTAGCAGTATGTGAGAATGGTTTGCAGCTCAGTTCATATATGGCATCCAGAGTATCCCCTTCAAAATACAAGCCTCAAAGCAATGGGATTTAGGAAGGCAAGCAAAACACATACACACACACACATTCACATGTAGGAAGATATAGAGAGAGAGGCACTGTGGTGGATTTCAGAAACAGGGCTGTTTAAGGCTGAAAATCAAGTGAAATACAGACTTTTAGTGTAGCACTTAATACTGTTGGCAATGTCCTCACCTCCTTTGGGAGTGCTTGGGTTCAGCTCATTGTTCCACCTCAAGGCTTCAGGTTTCTTCTCAAATATATCCTGGGACAGATCAGGTACTTGGGGTTCTGACACCCACATGAAAGACCTAGACTGAATTCCACAATCCTCGTGCCATGTGACTCAGCCCAAGTTGTTGCGGGTTATCTGAGCCAGTAAACATTAGATTCCTGCCCCCTCATTTTTTAAAACAACTCTTTGAAAATGTAGCCATTTAAAAAACAAGTAACTGAAAAACTGTCTTATTTTCTTTGACCAACAGTCTCAGTTTCTCATTTATGTTGATCTGGCCTAGTTGGCATGCACTTTGAACTTTAAAAATAAAAATAGAAACACACAGCTGAAGCAAATGCTTTTTTTTTTTTCAAAGAAAATGCACTGACACAGCTGGCTGTTTTCCCCAACAGCAAAAGTATTTTGGCTAATGCTGTTTTTTTTTTTCCTTTCTTAAAAAAAATTTTTTTAAATACTTGTTTGAAAGGCAAAGTTAGAGAGAGGGAAATGCAGAGAGAAATAGAGAGATCTTCCACCTGCTGGTTCAGTCTCCAAATGGCCTTAACGGTTGGCAGTGGGCCAAGTAGAAGCCAGGAGCCAGAAGTTTCTTCTGGCTCTCCCTTGTGGGTACAAGGCCGACCCCTGGGGCCAAGTTCTGCAGCTTTCTTAGGCATATTGGCTGAGACAGCATAAGCAGAACAGGTATTCTGAAAGTGGAACAGCTGGAACCTGAATGAGTACCTACCAAACTGGCATCAATATGTGATGCTGGAACTGCAAGCCTGCAGCTCAACCTGCTGTGCCATAGTGCCCGCCCTAGTTGCTTTTTCTTTTACCTCTGTTAAAAAGGTGCACAGGGGCCCGTGTTGTAGCATGGTGGGTAGAGCTGCTGTCCATAAGCAGACTATCCCAATGAATGGTCTGCGGAAAGCTGAGGAGGATGCTCCAAGTGTTGCAGCCTTGGATGAAGCTTCAGCATGGCTCAGTCTTGGCAATTAAGGCCATCTAGTGAATAAGGATGGAAGAACATTCTCCTCTCTCTGTTTTTCTCTCTCTCTCAAATAAATATTTTTAAAGTGTGAACTGAATGTATACGTTTTCTCATTGAGCATATTTCACATTGACAAGCTATATCTCTTTCCATGCCAAATATAAATTCTTCACTTGTCCACGATTCCATTTTCCAAAATTTCCACTACCCTGAGACCATCACAATTTGGAAACATGAAGTGGAAAATACTAGAAATAATTCTTTAGTTTTAAATTGTGTGCCATTTTGAATAGTGAGATGAAATCTTAAATGAGAGTCCTCCAGCCAGCCTGCAACAGGTTATGTTGATTACCAGCTTAATTGCTGTTGTTGCAACATCTATGTTCAAGCAACTCTTATTTTATTTACTTAATAATGCCAAAGTGCAAAAGTGGTATACTGCTGAGCATATTACTTATACTATTATCATTGTTCTACTTTGTTTTGTTTTCTTGTTAAACTCTTAACTGTGCCTATTTTGCAAATTAAACCTTATCATAGGAATGTGGATATAGGTAAACACGCAGCAGGTTCGGTAGTGTCCGGTTTCAGGCAAACACTAGTGATTATGTATGCTACAAAAATAAGGAAGACTACTGCAATCAACTGACAGACTGCTCTTGAAAATCATACTGCACAAGCCACAAGCCTAATTGGTCCCCATCCAGAGGTGAAGATGAGAGAAGCTATTCACTGAGCACTGACTTGTACCAGAACTAGGGACATGAAGGATGCAAGAGAAGTAAGGTAGTATCTTCTATAGTTGAAGATTTAATGATCTATTTGAAGATTTAAGATTTACATGTATAATTAAAACAGTACATAAGGTAAGTCAGTTTACCAGTTAGTGAGTCAATGATTCTTAAATGTTAGTATGCATAGATTATGCAGGGAACCGACTAAGCACAGAGAAACATAAACTACATTTCGATCCAATGGTATAGGAAACCTGCATTTTTCTAAGTATCCCAGATTGCTTGGCTCTAGCTGGTCCAAGGAGTACTCAAGGTGGGGTGGTGACAAAGCCAAAGAGCAGGCAATTGGTCGAAGACTGGAATTCTCAGGATAGACTTAGAGAGGGCAGCGAACTTGAGATGAGCCTGTCAGGTCAGACTTCAAGAATGAGTGAAATTTAAAGACAGGGAAGATTAACGCATTCCTGGAAAGGGAAAGGCTGGAAGAAAAGCAAAGTTGGTTGAGTGAATGTGGTATACGCTAATCAGAAAACAGGCCTGAGATGGCTGCATCAAATCCAGCATCCTTTTCCCGCGTGTCGATTATTTACACAACCCAAGTGTCTTGGACTACCCGATTGCTTTAACACAGGCAAACTTTCACATGAGCTCGTACCTCGGTTTGATATATTTGATGTCTATATAAAGTTCAATGACAAACCCCAGAGCTACAATCCTTTAGCTAACCAAACCATCAGCATATATCAAAATATGGACTTGATAATTAATCGTTAGTGTCAAATGAACAGTTATAGATACATTACCTTAAGAACCAGAAGTAACTGGATTCAAATAATTGTTATAAAACTTAATTCCTAGGGGGTCCAGCATGGTAGCCTAGTGGCTAAAGTCCTCCCCTTGAACACACCAGGATCCCATATGGGCACTGGTTCTCATCCAGCTTCCTGCTAGTGGCTTGGGAAAGCAGTCGAGGATGGTCCAAAGCCTTGGGACCCTGTACTGGCATGGGAGACCTAGAAGAAGCTCCTGGCTCCTGGCTTCGAATATGCTCACTCTCAGCCATTGTGGTCACCTGGGGAGTGAATCAACAGACAGAAGATCTTCCTCTCTGTCTCTCCTTCTCTCTATATATTTGAGTTTGCAATAAAAATAAATAAATATTTAAAAAACCCTTAATTCATGGCATATTTTAAATGGCCTATTTAAATTTCAGTTTCCAACCTATAACATTTCAACAGAATACAATCATACCTCTGAATCCAGTGGTAACTGGTCCCAGGAATTCCTGTACATGTTGAAATGTGCAGATACTTCAGTTTTTATATGAAAGTACTTCAAAATGTCATATAAAAATGGAATTAAGTTTACCTTA